TGGCCTGGTTGGTGGTACCTTCGAGACTCCCAACCTGGAGGTTCTTGCCTGTTTGGCTACTAGGACCAAGTACTAGACCTTGGTATCCATTTCCCTGAGCTAGCCTTTACAGTAGAGCCATCGAAGATCTAGCTACCTCTCTACTCGGGTCTTCCCAAATGAACTTCTTGTTATCCAATTTCAATAGATTTACATGACCACAAAAACTTATCTAGTGTTTGTATTGCCCGATATGTCAGTTTGCATTTTTCTGTATAACTCCAACATTGCACAGATGCCCCATGACCTGCCAGTCATGCTAGTGTAACTGCTATTACAGATATCCTAACCTAATCATTAGTAACAGTTACTATAATACGAATATTACATAGGTAATTATTCAATTTTCACTATCGATAGGATTTGAACATCCAATCTACCACTTAGGGGGTTGACAACCTGACCACTTCACTAGGTTGCCACACCTCATTTTTTTTTAATTTTAGAATTTTATTTTATTATAATATATATATATTTTTTACTTTCATTAAGGTTATTTGTTATTAGTATTACTATCTTTATTGTGTTTTAATTATGATTACATAATTTGTACAAGATAAATGTGCAACTAGTCACATATGCAACTTTTAGTTACATATTTAATTAGTCTATCTGCAGATTCTATACTAGTTGTTATATCTGTAATCTGCTAGAAGATTATCTAATTAAATACTCTGATTTCTATATTATATCTGATAACTAATACACAAATTTTTGTATATTTAAGTGCTATTTAACTTAATATTAACTTTTTTTTTGTATATTTGTTAAGCTGTTATATATTTCAAAATACATTACCTAACTATAAAGCTTTAAGGGCTTCTCTATTAATTAGTTTGTACACTTTTTATAGAACATTAACAGGACTTGTTCTTGTAAAGTTTACCCAAATCCTAGTACCAACTTTATACAGTATATTTCTAATACTTATAGTATACTCTTGCTTTGTTATCTGATTTTAAATTCAAATAGCTCAGTAGAGCTATAATATGTTCTTAGTATACTAAGTTCAATTCTATATATTTTTTTTTTAATTCAAGACTTTTAACAGTTTAGTTGATAGTACTTCTTATCTAAGGTTCTTGTTTATCTAATTTTTTTATATTAGTATTTATTTTTTAGATCTAGACTTTATAGTAATATTGTTAAAGATCTGTGTTATTTCTCTATTTAGGTCTTTTTAAATAAGGTTTTGTTTTTTAATTTTACAAATTTACACAGCCACAAAAACTTATCTTGGATTTATATTGTTTAGTACCAGTTTGCATTTCTCTATATGACTAAGATTATATAGATATTTCTTGATTTACTAGTTATACTAGTATAACTATAGTTACAGGTATTTTATTTTAACTAATTAACAGAATGACATTATTATAATACAGGTATATTTTTTCAAATTTTATCTCTAATAGATTTTAAACTTATGATTTGCTACTTAAAGGTTGACAACTTATCTATTTTACTAAGTTATTACACTCTATTATATTATTTTTAATATTTAAAAGAAAATATATTTTAATTAAAGATTATTATTATAATCAAAACTAGATTAAGGTTAATATAGATAATAAAAAAATTGTTATGATATACTTTTTTATTTAATTAAAAAACAGTATTTTTTTTAAATATAATAAATTCAAAATTTGTAAGAATATAAAGATAAATAATAACTTTTTTATCTTTATTAAATATGTTGTTTTATTATTATATATTATTACTATACAAATTTTACATATAATACTATAGATCTTTTATAAGAAATCAAATCATAATTAGTTAATATATATTCAGGAGTACTATATTAAAAAAGAAGTAACTATTATAAGTAAGCATATAAAAAAATAAAGATTTTTACAATATAATTTATTAATTATCTAATAGAATAATTGATTTAGTTATTTGATCAGTATAAGGATACTTTTTAAAAGATTACTTTATATGTTATTGAACTATACTATAAGAATTTTTATTTGTAGAAGAGGCTCTTGCATAACAGAATGAAAATTGTAACAAGATAAAAAGTAAAATACCAAAAGAAGTATTCTATTATTTAAGATCAGTTAGAATAGTAAATTAGGAATAAATCAAAATTAAAATATGATTTTGATATATTATTTGAGAAATAAAATTAAGTATAGATAAATAAAAAAATTTAAATAAAGAAATTAAATGAATTTTTTTAAAAAACAATTTAAAAATTTAATAATAATTAAGCTAATTATTGTACTAAATTTGACTATAATCTCTTTTATCATTTATTAACAAATAGGTTAACAATGATAAAAGTTTAAATAAATTAATTTTTATGTTTAGTTTATTCATGCATTTATATAAATATATATATCTTTTTTATTATTAATTCTTATCTCATTTTACAATTGTGTAACATAAATATTTGGTTTTTTTTATTTAAACGATTCTTAGTCAACAAGCAAAAAAAATTTTGAATACAATCTGAATACAATCTGAGCATGCGCATCACTTCAAAAAATGCTGTTTATACGCAATCACAAGCACTTAACTAGCACTAAAGATATAGAGTACCTTTTACAAACGTTTGAAATTTGTGTAAAACCCAAAAATACTAAAAAAAGCAAACTTTAAAGTAGATCCATTACCAAAAATATAAAAAAAGAACGGAAATTTAAATAGAGTAATTCAGAGTAACACCAAATACTAACGTTTACTTTTGAGCGTTAATATGATTAGTTGGTTCAATGGATACTATTCCATTCACTCCATTGGCTTCATTGATAATTTTCTCAATGGACTTTATCCATTGCCAACCCTGCCCACGTGTTCCCAAAGATTTTAAGAATATGATAATTTTTTATTAAAATTTAAAAATATTTACAGCTAAACCTAGCGCTATTTTATTTATATATAATTTACTCTAATTCTGATACAAAAATTCCATGTTAGTACTTACCCTAACCTCAACTATAAAAAATTCTTGCGGCTATACAAAGCCAAAGGATACACATACATTTTTTTCTTTAAATAAATAAATAAGTACCAAAATACGTATATTAATGGCTAATATATAAAGTTATTATAAAAAATATTTATATTTCTATAGATTTTTTATTTTTTACTTTTTTAAGATATATATTATGCAATTCAGTCTAATTATTTGTTGTTTGACTTTCTTGAAAGTTGGCGCTTTTTTTCTAAAATAGTAATAAACAAAATTATTTATTTAAATATTCTTTAAATATTGTACCAAATATTTATTGCCTATAAAATAATCAAATATTTACCTCTTTAACAAATTGGTATACATTATATATATGTGAGGTTAACAAAACGGTTGGAAATCTATTTTTTATGATATCCATAGAAACATAATCAGGCCAACATCCAAGAGAATTATCATCGTCTCCAATATAATCACAAAGAGGAAGATCTTCTTTAATGGTTTCACTGTTAATTGACAAATATCTTACGATAAGTCTTTTCAAAGCAATCAAGAATGCATCTGCAGAAATCTTTGCAGATTTTCCGGAATTGGATTGCTCAAAATATATTGCTTCTGAAATAATTTGCTTTATAGATTCATCTAATTCAGCCTTATACTTTGAAGATATACATTTGGCGACTATTAATGTATCAGCAACATGCTCTTCAACTAATTCATACAATGCTACGATGTGTTTAAGTTGTAACCTTGTTCTTCTTAATAATTTATAACATCTTTCTTTTTTCACACCTAACTTCATCCAATTTTCTATATAATCACTAATTAATGTATCACCATCTCCTCCAGACGTTTGTTTTAAGAAACAAATAATTATTTCTAAAGCAGAAAGTAATTCCATTTGATTTTCTGATATTTCTGGTTTATTATCAACAGGAATTGGTTCTTGACGTATCAAAATTTTGATTTCTTCTAATATTGTCATAGATCTACTAAATAATTCTTTATGATATATAAATGTATTCAAATACATTTGGTCTTTATTTGATTTGATCAATTTTTTTCCGTACACTAATTCTTGAGCCAATTCATCTTCGATCTTGTATAGATCATAATGGATTTCTCTGCCATGGCCTAGCCTAAGATCATGTTGACAATATATAAAAACATTGGAAATACCATCATATTTAATTATTTGTTCTGATTTTAAATTTTCAAGATTTATAGATTGTAGGCAATATCTGCCTGTTTGAACATCAGATTCTTCAATGAATTTTAATGATTGGCAAGTTCCACAAGAAACTTCCATAATATCATTTAGAAAATCGTTTTGCAATTGGACCAAGAATTCTATTGTTGCGCATAGATATAAAGATTCATCTGCTGGTTCATATAATCCATAAATTATTGGAGCTTTATCATCTATTTTTGGCATTTCTTGTGATAAATCTTTACATTGATATCGTTTGATATAAGGAATTAAACGGTTCCATGAGTCCGCAAAGCTATTGAATGCCGTATTTAAAAATTCTTCTGTGGTTCCACTTTCATCACCTTTACTTTCATCTATTATAAATTGTTGAAAAGTCAAATCACGTGCCCTTTGCCTTTCAATTATATTAGAAAGTCTTGAAGATATTATTTGTGTAAATTTCACAATTGGTAAAAGAAGTTGTATAAGATTCAGATGTTTTTCATGTTTCAAGAATATATATAGTAACGGAAATGCTTCTTTATTTTCAATATTAGACATACAGTATGATTTAAGGTTGTCTAAATCTGGTTTTTCGATTAATCTCCATAGTAGAGGTGAATAGTTATCATTGTAATGATCATCAACTTCCATAGTCTCATTAATTTCAACAGACTTTTCTGCATTTTTATCTAACGTTATTCGAAAATTATTAGCAGTTCCAATAAAGTTCTTGATCTTTGGTAAAACATATTTCTGATTAAAATATTCTTCCCAAGATTCTCTTTGAGCTGGTGATACAAACTTTTCAATATTTTGAGAAGATTCTTGTGACATATCTGAAAGTATGGCATGAATGAACAACGCTAAAGTTTCATCTTCGCAATTAAAAATACTTTTTAATGCCTTCCAGTCATTCTCAATATGTTTCCTGCAATATTGAACAATATTGCTATTTGGATCATTAATAAAAGCGATAGTGGTTGATGAGTGTGCTTGAATGCCAATAATTATGTGTAAGAACAGATGAAGAATTCTGTAAGAAGCTGGATTTAAGGTCCTAAGAGAATGATATTCATCAAACATATCTTCAATTATATACCCTTGTTTATCATTTACAGTCACAGAGCGTTCTATTCTATTTCTATCTATATCGATATTTCCCACATTAAGTATATGATTTGAACCGCCAATCATATTTTTACATTGATTACATGTACCAATCTGATCTGGACGCCCACAATTACCGATAAAATAAATATTTCCGCATTTACATTTATATCTATGACATTTTTTAAATATAAATTGTTAACATACATATGTATAAATAATACAATATGTGACAAGTAACATACCTTCTTGTTCCCGAATCATTTGCTATTATGACATTTGTTACTAAAGCCAATTCATCTGATGGGCAAGTCACGATATAAGTATCTTTGTGGTCATATAATGCTTGCATATATCCGGTTAGAGGAGATGAACTAATAGGATTTGAAATATGCAATGCTACAACATGAGCAACAACTGAGGAAATAAATACAACAGTGCTTTTAACATTTGGATTTAGTTTATATAGTTGATGATTATTTTCCATAAAATTTAAAAGATACATTTTATAATTCTCTGGAAGTTGAGATGATTTTAGAAATTTAGAAATCCTTCGCATTAAAATCTTTTCGTTCTGATTCAATTCACGTGATGATCTTATAAGATAAAAGTTTGATATTATCATCCCTGCTAATAAAATTTTTTGAGTCGTCTCACCATCCCCAATAATTATATTTAACAAATTATTTGCAGTCAACTCATCACTATAAGAAATTATTTTATAAAAACAATCAACTTGTTTAAATTCGTTAAAGTACCAATAAGGATTAAATCCAAGACGACTATTTGAATCGGTTTTTAAAATTCTGACCCAAGGTAAAACTTGTTGTAATGCATCACAATATTGTTCAATTTCATAAGTCACTAATCCTTTTAAATATAAGGACTTGAGCAAATATATTTTAAATGAATGGATTAAAGGATGTACGATTTCCAAACATTTATTTAAATCATCAAGATTAATTGATTCTTTGTTATTCCAAAATTCATTTGCAAATTCTTTTAAAAGAGCAATGGCAGTAATTTTTTGTAATTCTTTGGAATCGTTGCTAATCAAAATATCTGTTGCTTTCAGAAAATATTTAGACAGTACATTAAATTGATATTCTGTGGAGAGCTGAGTCTGAATAACATCACAACATAAAGCAGCTATTTCTGAGTTCTTTCGTTTCGATAAGATATTTTCAATGGTTTGTAGCCGCCTTGTACTATTTAGTACCTGTGGTCCATTAATAAGATTAAAGAACAATGATCCATCTTGTTCTTTATTTTCGGACTCAAGAATTAGGTAAATATTAGGGAAAGCAAGTGATAATGTTTCTTGTGAAAATATTTTTTTATAAAGATAGCGACGGATAGGTGACTTAAGTGAAATTGTGTTCAAACATCTATAAATAAAGGATTGCCTTGAAGATAATCTAACTTCTGTTTGCTCTATTTGATCAAGCTTTTCGAAAACAAAATCAATAGATTGCTTTGAAAGCAGATTCATTTCATGCTTAATTTGAAGCAGTTGTGTATAAGAAATAGATTTAGACAAGTCATTATATATTCGAAGTACATTTAATAATTGATTGTCGGATGAATTTGGTAGGCTGCAAGAAATTAACGAAATCTTTGCGGCATCACGTTGCCAAGCTTGAAGTTTAATTTTCACGTGATGTGAATTACTCTTGTGATAAGATCTACGGGAACGACGTGTACCAGTAAATAAGTAAAGTGTGCCCTTTTTATCATCCCAATCATTATCGTCAATATAAACAAGTTCATCAATCATAATACGTGATACACGGCTTAATAAGTCATTATCGATATTAAGTTCTCGGCTTTCATCAAATGCTGTATTGAGAATTTCTTCTTTCGAAATGCTTTGAAGTAATAAAAGTAATTGCAACTCAGTCAAGATTAAATCTTCATTGCTCCACCAAAATGTATGAAGTCTTATGGGATCCGGTACTTTTTGCTTCATATGATGAGATATAATCCTGCGTAAAATTTTGCTATTATCGGTTTTTCCATGCAAAATGATAGTCGTAAAATCATTAAAATATGCATTTTGCAATTTAAACAGTGGTATTTTCAACACAGGAACCATGGAAATCACGTGCTCAGAAAATCTTTCAATGCATTCATCGATAATCTGTGATTTGAGATTACCAGTTTCTTTATCAAGGTTTTCTGGAACTCTTTCTAACATCATTAAATCATTTTGGTATATGCTTTTAAATTTATTAATCTGTTCCATAAAATAAATTGAAAATGGAAGTTTCAAACCATTAGAATTGTTTTTTATTCTATAAGGCATCTTTATATTCTCAACGTTGACTATTTCGGTATTCATAATTATCGGTTTCCAGAAATCGAATAAATTAGATGTAGCCTTATCATTTATCCCTTCCTCATTTAATAAGTTATCACTATCAACAATTAAGAGTCCTGACACTTTTTCCAAGGCAAATAAGAGTTGAGCTACAGGTTTTCTAACCTGATTACAAATAAACACTTGTAAAGCAGTTAAGAACGAAGAATACAGATATAAATCTTCTCTGTTTACTGCCACGCTTAATTGCCAGTCCTTGAATTGTTTATCACGTAGCCACTCAAATGCTCTTTCCTTTATCCAATTCATGAACTCCTTATGACGCGGAATTTTTTGAACAAGTGATCTATGAAATAGCAAGATAATATTATTTCAAGAAGTACATGTGGATCATATATGAGTGCTGCCAAGGGAAAACCTGTCATCGTGTTTTTAATTATATTTTGTGTTCAGCTTGTTTCCAGAGTGCCGTCTAGAGAAAATCTATCATCGAGCTTTTAATTATATTTATACAAATATAATTGATTAAACCTGATGATAGGTTTTCTCTAGACGGCACTCTGGAAACAAGCTGAACACAAAATATAATTGAAAGCCCGATGACAGGTTTTCCCTTGGCAGCACTCATATGCGAAAAAAACTACTTACCTAATATAATCAGCCGATTCATAGGATGGTGGAAATTCCATGCAAAGCAAACACCATAATAACTCACGATCAATGACTTTCTCGAATGTATATGCCGTTTCCAAGACATTTATCAAATCTTTATCTAAATAATCTTCAATAGTAAACTCTTGAGGTATTAATGTTTCAATAGAAAATAGATCCCATCCACACATGAAATTAAATGATGATATTGTTGAGGTCGCATTTTCTTTTCTCAAATGAAGCATTATGCAAACATGTTTGACCTGTGTGGCAGAATATTTACTCGCCATGAATTCATTTTTATATTGCTCAATAATAAACTTTGCAAGTTTAATACATTCTGAGTTTGATGAATTCAGATCACATTGTAAAATTAAAATATCAGCTTTGGATTCTAACCAGAAATGTTTAATACGGGACTGGAATTGGGCCTCACTTTTGAATGTTGAGAGTTTATCAACCTGACACTTTAGAATATTATTTAAGCAAGATTCAACATCAGTGTTAATGCTTGAGAATGTGTAAACAATTGCATTAAAGCCTTGTGCATTTTTAGCACCTTCCAACAATGATTCAATATAGCCAGGGAAGTCTTCATGATGTTGCTGTTCAAAATAGAATTTATACCAATAATCTACTTCTTTATTACTTAACATTGATTTTTTTGAGCGCACGATTCCATCCGGCATGGCTATGCCTATCAACATTTCTTTGCACTTGTGCAAAATTTTCGTTTCGTCATCTAACTCTGGATCATTGCTATTGTAAATTACTAGACTTTGCAATGTTTCTTCCTTATCGAATCCAATAAAAATATCATTCTCATTGAATTTTGCTGATCTGGCTTCTATATTTGAAATCTGGTTTGACCATTCTGCAAGTTTATTTAATAACCCTTTCATGTTATCGTCTATTGCATCATTGATAGACATGGTTTGTTTTTCAAATCGATTTAATAAAGGCGGGTCTGAAAAATCAACTTTTTTTTCATCAAGAACTAATATACAACGGAAATTGTTATGGACGCAGACCATAGGATTTGAATATGCACCCAATGCAACACGTGTATAAAATGTTTGACTTCCTTCCTTTCCTACGGTTATGTAATTTTGGTTCCATAAATCGTAAAGACTTCCTTTAAATTTTTTCGAATTAAAAATTATGCGCATATTAATAAGTGATACACGAAGATATGCGAAATAAATTCTAAAATAAATATGTAAATGAATGATACCATAGATCATATCAAGATCTGTCAAAATCAATGGCCTTCCTGCTTCCACACACATCTATAGATAACAAGATTTATAAGCAAATATTATATCGCAATAGGAATTATATATAATCATAATTTGAACTAGTTTACCATAATACGGCTTAATACACTATACTGGTAATCACCACCAAAATCATTGGGAAATTGACTACCATAAATAACAACTGGTTCCAAATCAAAATTTGTGTCATTAAATTTAGGGTCGTTATTCCATTGTTTTAATTTATATGACAAGACATTAACAATTGAATCACTTTTTCCAATAATCATTAAATGACGTGAGTTTTTATCTTTTAGGTTTGCTTTAATGAGATCTTCTATTGAATAATTATTGAAACTATCAATAGGACCATGAAATGCTTTTATGACTTTACTAAAATGAATTTTATAAAGCTCATCCATTTGACTAGTTCCTCCAAAGTTTCTTGCTAACGCCATTTGTGCGATCTGTAAGCAAATAATTAGATCAAAATATACATTCCCATTAAGAAATCTTATAGATTTTAATAAATACCTCTCCACTACCAAGGCTTTTAACCAAGAAATAATAATCTCGAAGCCCATGAAAATTATTAATAGGTTGAATTTTTCTATATTCAAGATAAGCATCAACTAAAGCTTTAAATTGCAATTCTGTACACTCTCCCAATAATAGTTTTGTCGTGTAAATTAAGTCTTTGCTTTCAAGGTTTGGTCTAAAAAACAATATATTTGAGTAACTTTGATTTAAAACGTTAAACCTACCAATAATTTTATAAAACAAACCTCTGTACTAATAAAGCTCTACTTGACTTAGAATTATCAAGTCTCCAATTACTTATTCCAATAACTGCAACTTCTGGAAGCTCTGCAGGATAATTTGGTTCGAGTAAAGAATGTAAAACTTTTAATGGATTATGAGGGCTTTTTTCGGCCAATCCAACTAATTGAGAAAGACATGCGAAAGTAAGTTTTAAAATTATAAATATCCATAACAACATATTAATAAATTAAATGAGTGAAGATTGAATATTTACTTTCATCAAGTAAAACAACAGTGATTAGCGGAAATTCCTCTGAGTTGCCTTCCTGATATTTATTTGCTTTATTGAATACGGTAATAATACCTTCAGATGTCGAAGATGATGACCCTTGATAATGAACTAGATATATCTATATAAATTCATGAAAATCGATTAATGAAATGATCTGAAATATTATTATAGTTTAATTTTGCTTACTTGAGGAAGAGTTCTAAAGTATGGGTCATCTGAATCATTACCCCGGAGACTTTGACTAACTATACGAATAGCTAGGGATTTTGACGCTCTAATCCATTAAATAACAAAGTGTCAATACATATATATTTTTCATTCTCAAATAGTTACTAATGATAATTTACCCCGGGGCACCAATGATAAATAGTGGAATACGCGTTAATATGCATACAGTAATTGCGAGTACGTTTTCGAGGAGAGCAAAGTTCTCAGCAACCATATTCGGTTTTATCATACGTTTCATAAAATCTTTCTGTTCATCCTGAATAACTTCTGAAAAAGTTTTAGAATTTATTTTTACTCCATGCTTTTCAAAAATTTCACACATTCTGTCTTGATATTGATTGCGCAACTTTTGGTCAAAAAATCTGACTTGGTAACAAAGGCTTAATGCTAATATGTAGGATTTTATAATGTTATTTGGTTTTTCAAAATATGATTTTATATTAGTTGCTGTACGTAAAATTTTAGATCCAATATTCTTTGTTTTAGATAGTTTTTCGGATATATTTTGACGTTCCACAATACTTTTGCGGAAAAATTCAAATATGATTATTGCTCTTTTTATATCACGTAAACTAACACTATGCGCTCCTTCATGGGTCCTTACAAATTCTTGTGATTCAAATAAAAGTTCTGTAAATAAATTAGTATTTTTTAAATTTTCCTCGGACTTTTTTGTCATCATGTTTATATGAATCATTTCATCTGAAGGTTTTAAAACACCATAATCCCAAATATAATCTAATATTTGATCAGGAAGTGGCCGTACTTGATAGACAAGGCTGTTCTTTTCCTCATATCTATCTACTGAAAGTCCAGCTTGAGTATCAGCTTTTTGACGTAAACGATAAGGATTACAAGCTGCAAACAGTCTAATATTTTTATGAATCTCTTTGCCTAAATTAATAACAAATGTAAAATTGTAATTTGTAAACTTTTCACAATGTGCAATTACTATACATGGGTGAAATAAATAGGTCTATGTAAAAATCCCGAAGTCAAAATAGAGATGTTATATGATCTGTTCTTAGACTAATAGACTACAGTTAGTCTTAAGACCAGTCTGAACTCCCCAAAAATTGGTTTGCTCTAAGTCTTAAGACTAAGTCTTAAAACTGAAGACCAGACCAGACTTGGACTAAAATTGACTAGACTGTACCAGATTAGACTGTTAACGTCCCTAATTCAAAATCATAAAACTTAATCATCGCGTAGTGTGACACCGGTTCAAACTTCATTATGATGACTAATTATAAGCGGAGTTTGAACCGGCGTCACGCGATGTGATGATTAATTTTTTCGGGATTTTGACATAGACCCGAATAAAATATACATACCTAAAAGTAGCCTATGAGCGATGAGGTCTGCGAGAATACCAATATGGTTACATGTATTAATCTCGTCAAAAAATAGCCATATTTCACTTTGTTCTGCAATTTTTTCTGCGTCAGATAAAAATTCAAATATTTGATGCTTGGTTACACCAGCATGTAGATTTAAAATTCTTAATTCGACATTAACAACAATTGAAAGAAATTGGATTAGACTTGTCTAATATAAGAAATTAAAGGATTATAAGCTAAATTCATAAAATTTTTTAAACCGTATAATCAAAATTTTAAAGTTTATCACCTTGCCGCATCCGGCTTCACCGCAAATTACCACTGGTATATTTGCCCTTGATCGCAATAAAATCAGCGCCATCTTTAAAAGATTATCTGTTGAAAGTGCATATGGTGCATATTCACGCTCATCACATGTTGTTCGTGCTAAACATTCCAACTTCTTCAAGATGTCTTCTGAAGACATTTTATCATAGTCATCTAATTTAAAATCAGAATCCCTAGAAAAATGTTGACTTCTCAACAAATCTTCAACATTCTTTGGAACTCTACTTTTATGGTGGTAAAGTGCACAGATCGAATCAGGAGATTGTGATAAGAAAAATACTAGTAAATGGTTTAAATCTTCCCAATGTTTGACAGTTGTGTTAATTAGGTTCTTTTCCTCATTGGCCAGATTTTTGAACTGATCCTTCTTTGGATTTACCGAACGCGTTGCAAAATCCATGGACACTTTTATTAATGTCTCTAACAATGTTCTTCGGATATTAGTGTCTGCATCCATCCAGTTTAATGTTTCAACGCGAAAAAATGCGCTAGATGACATCCGCTTCAATTGATCCGAAAGAACATTAACAAATATTTCAAGGAAACGATAAGTTTTAATATCTTGAGTAATCTTATCAAAAAAATATTTTTGTAATAATTGCCGACAACGTATCTCAGGGATCAATTCTTCGTTATTGAGATCGATATTAACTATATTAATTTGATTAGAATCATATGCATCTAAATATCTAGAAACAATTTGAATAGGACTGTCCACATCTTGAGGAATAATTGTATTGTCGATACTCCAAGTTAAATGCTTTCTTTTTAAATGCCCGAGAATAGGAATAGAATTAAATAAATCTTGATTCAAGGTTGATTCTACTTCTATATATATTAATGCTGAAGGAATGCTTAAGAAATTGGCTCTGTCCCTTACAATTTTAAATGAGAGAGATTCAAACAGAAACATGTTTACATCATAATGATTTTCTATCAACATCATATTTAAATGTAGATTCTCTATATTTTTTAACCTCATCTCTGACAATTTGTGTACAAGCATTCCAAATGTCACTCCATCACTTATTAAAAATTTTCGTGGTACCGATCCATGATTTAAACTTTGTTTTTCAATCCACCTGGACTTTCCTTGTCCAGATAAATCAGAAGAAACTACCCATACATAAGGACATAATTCTTCATAAATGTTGCGCATTGAATCTGCATCAAAACCTTGAGTTGCATGGATATTTTCTGAAAATTGGTCGAGTATATGATGGTGCATATTATTTTCAAGACAACAAATTAAAGCCAAATAGAATGTCTTTTCTTGTTGACACAGGGAACGTATGTTTGATACCAATTGATATTGCAACTCGAAATCCAAAACTTCTACATTTGCAATACAAAATAAGTGCTTTTCGTATCCATTCTTTACGGCAAAAAAACATCGTTTTGTGAAAGTTAAGAGTTCTTCCGTCGTGGTAGAAGATTTACAAATTAGAACTTGCCATGCTTCCGGATAACATTTATTATGTGAATTATACAACGACATAATAATGTTGGGTACTTGAAATTTATTATTACACGTCGCTATGAAAAGACGTCCCTGATAAACCACATCTGTTGTGTCATACTTAACAGCGGCTGTCATTTGACGTTGCGTGATAAGAATTCGACTGAAGATTTCATGTAATATTGTACCAATCTTACAAAGTATGTCATAATAATTTTTAGGTTCAAGAGGGATTTTAAGGATATCAGAGTTAATATTTGGCAGTTCAGCTTTATCATTAACGGATTTCAAGAGTACTGAACATTCTTCTTTAATATTAAGCCTTGCTATACTTTCATTATACGAAAAATTCTTGACTATTCTAGAGAAAATAGATTGTTTTTCTCTGTTGATATTAGAGTGCGTAGTCACATTCTTTTCATTGCAAGAAAAATAATAATAAAAATTCAAAATATGCTGTGCTAGGAAAAAAGTCAAATAGTAATGGTTTTGTTGTGCTTCACCAACAATTTGCTTCCAATCTCGCAAATCATCAAGCAAAATATTTAACAAATTTTCCATATCTGAAGTAGAACGCGTAGATGCTTCAAAATCATAGTACTTGAAATGTCCAAGCTCTTTTAATAATGAAGCAGTATCAATTATTTCTTGCGCGAGATCAACTCTAACTATAAATTCATTCATATTATCTCGCGCGATTTCATCTGACGTGATCACACTTTTATTGGTTTTCGTATTGATGAAAGTATTGGAAGGTGCCCTTGCTATCAATAAAGCACGACCACGTAAATCTTGAAGATCTGAAAAAGTATAACTCGCAATGCTTTCTTGTAAAGTGTCAGAAGTATATGATAATGTTGCCGTATATCTATTTTCATCGTCTTCCATTCTCTTAAATAAATACACTCCTTTAGTCACTGAATATATAATCTTTTCTTTTGTCACTTCACCGCGATTCGAAATATTATTATACAAATTTTTTAACGCTTGGGCATTTGCATTACACAACCGTAACTTGGAAATTAGAGATGGGTTCCTATTTACGATGTTATGTAGAATTTGAAAGAATTCTTGAACCGCTGAATGCCTATCATCCCCTTCTCTCTCCTCTAATAAAGGCTCCAAGATCTGTTTGACTTGAATAAATGTTTGGACTATATTTTCTTGGATTAAACGTTCATCTGAATGATCATCAACACCATTAATTAAATTTTGAAGATTATTTCCAACGAGTGACTTGAGGAAAATTATAAAATCTTTTGAATCACAGATTTCCTTAATTATTGACCAAATATCATTGGTCAATAATAATGTCATTTCAATTTTATTAAGTTTATCAAAAGCTTCATATAATTGGTAAAGCAACAACTCTTTATCTTCCAAATTATTGATCAGTTCTTCTACCCAAAAATCTTGATCACACAGAATAATACCCAAATCATTAATCACAATCGCAAGTTGGCGTAATCTTTCCAATGTTGATGAGATATTAACTAAAAGTTTTACTGAACTAATTAATCTTTGAACATCATGAATTCTTGACCCTGGTGCGTTATGACCAGGATTATTATTTGACTTTAATTTGTCAAAGTAAGGAGTCATGAAATTAATTTCTTTTTCAACATGTTCTGTATTTACATTTTTCCAAAATTCAATTGCAACTGTACATTTAATTTCTTTCTCTTCATCATATTCTTTACATTTAATCTGATAACTTTCAACGGCCTTATTGAAAATATTATTCATTACTTGTTTAACCGTCAATTCTTCTGTCAATTCAATTTGAAAGATGTTGTAGAAGGTTTGTGAATCAATAAATGGATAGTAATCTTTCATAATTTCAATCGTTACGGAGTGCATTGACCAGTGATTTTTGATATATGATTCTTTAAGTGTAGCATTGATTGATCTCTTTGTTAAATCGTCAAAATGCAATTGTACGTCTGTTACTGACTGAGAAGGACAGAATTTTTCATAAAATTTTTGGAGACGTTCTAAAGTTGAATTGTATGCATTACATTGATTACAACTTTCTTCTAGAATTTCACCTGTAATTAATTCTTCCGAATCATTTCCTACAGCAGAATTAATATAATCCTTAAGGGCTTGGTTGTTACTAAAGCAAATAAATATTTTTTGAAGTAATCTTATTTTTATATCATTATTTATAATATCCATAGCTATACGAATCACCATTTTGCATGCTTCTTTAAAATATGTATGAGAACGCAGCTCTTGAATATCACCTCTTGCCTTAAATATGGTCGTCCAAAATGTTGTGAACTGGAATAACGAAAGTTGAAATGATTCTATTTCATGATATTTAACTTCTTTCACTTGCTGCAAGAGGTTGAGTATAAAGCATAAAATTTCTTCACAATAGCTAAATTTGAAATTTCGTGTTAATTCGGGATACGTATGTATAACGATTATGTGAAATTATTTTACAAATATTTTTCATACCTATTTGAAACATTTAAGGTAGATTCGCTATCACTATTGCAAATTCGCATGATAATTTTCAGGAGGCGCTCATCAGGATCTTGAACAAGAGGTCTAACTCTGGACTTTAATAAGGACATGAAGCGAGTTATTATATCTTCATGAAAGTCAGTAACGTTAATAAATGATGTAATTGAGAATATAGAGTCATCAGACAATGATGTCACGATGTTATGGTTCATAAACATGTTTAAAATATCTTGATCATGTATTGAAGTTGAATAAATTATTGAAAGATAATAGAAGATATTATAAGCTGTGCTTTCTTTTTGTTTACAGATATTGATTAACCATTTTATTGATGTATTTTCAAGTTCCTTTTGAATTGTGGTTGAATTCAATCCCAATATATATCTAAAAATTTCCGGAAAAGATTCCAATAGACTTATTTGATCGGATTCAGCAATTGCTTCGAGTATACTGGCATATTCTCTATTATGCCACCTCAAATTAGGTTCATTAAGAAACTTTCGAAGTGAGGCGACATTTTTATCATTCCAATATGGCTTCTTTTCTTTAAGCAATTCTAAAAGTTTTTTACGAATTTCATATGAGAAATAGTCGCAATCCTTTAATTCTTTAAAACATTCCTGCAGATATGCGAGACTTTCAACGTCATATGACATCCTAATGAGTTTATTCATTATTCTATCTAGTGCATCGAGGTTATTAAGATCGTTAATGCTAGGTTTTAATACTTCTAATAGTTTTATGAAATTGTCGGGTAGCCTTTTATAATCATATATTTCAATTGAATCAATGAATGAGTATGATGTATCAAACTTAGGCGCAAGTGCAAACATTGTAGTCCAGTCTAGAGACCCGTATTTAGAGTTATGCTGAACCAAAGTTCTAATGGCACTCACGACCAAGAATTTTGTATTTGAAGGTAGGCTAGAACTATCATGAACGTTTTTAAATTCTTTTATCATCGTGACAGATCGAAAACTATCCGGTAAATCAGATCTATATAAAAAGCCACTTTGATATTCTATATAATGACCAAGGAGAACATACAAAAATAATACTTGTTCTTTTGTTTTGTTTGTTTCTAAATGGTGGTTAATGAAACTGATTATTTTGTTAATTTCTCTAAAGTCTCTGTGCCTTTTTAAAATATGTTGGTAATCCATGATTCCAATTTTTAAGTCAATGGATGATTTTATACTCTTGTAAATATAATCGGTAAATACATAATCTTCCCTATATGAAAATTGATCTTTTTTAAATTTATTGCTATCTCTCCAAACGTCGTAAAGATTTCCACGAAGTTCCATTCTCCTATTGGTTGTGAACTCATCACCTTCAAAATTTAATAAACGCTCTGATGAAACCAAACAATATTTGTATTCAACATCCAAGTTTGCTAGGACATGAATATGCACATGATCAGATGCCCAAAGAGTAGAATTGGGAATTTGACGAAGCCATACTTTAGGTGTCCTCCAATTACCTAAAGCTTCACAATTTCCCAAAACTGCGAGTTTGCACGAATCAATATTAAATGGTAGATGAACATGAAAAACCGAAATTATTTCTGTAAATTCGATTTTATTCATACTCAAAAACTACTATTTTTTTAAAATGATACGTTTTCTTGTTGAAGTTTAAAAAAAAACAAGATAAAAATTTAATATTTCTCCTTAAATACGTATATATATTAATTATCCTAGCGCTAAACAAAATTTGATGGCGTACAATTGTGATGTTACAGCAGAAGTTCTGTTGTAATAGCGTGACCACTTGTGCGAGTGATACAAACTCTAAAAAAGAATGTGGACAATCAGAGGAAGCAAAATTTCAGGCAGACACGTGCGAAAAGCGATGAAAAAAGTAAAAAACAAAGTGAAAATAAAAGAAAAACAATCGTTTAAACCTGCCTCGTAATTCTAATTAAAAATGATGTTGATGAAATTTTAAAACTGAAAACTTCTTATTATCCCCATAGCTACGGGCTCTAATAATTTTAGTCCGATTCTAATATTTTACGTAGACTTATTTTTATTTCAAATTCCTTTTTTTGGAGGGTTGTATCACTCGCAATCACTCGCATAAATAATTACTTCCGGAGTGCACGGAGTGGAATATCCATAATAGCGAAATAATAAGTCACTACATAACATAGGTGCAGACTTATTTACGTCACTAATTACAACTCAATTACATATTATTTTACAACCCGGTTTAGTGTAATTTTTTATATCTGGTATAGACAGATATCTATAATCGGCAAGGTAATAATGTAAGTAATAATTACTTATTTTTTTACCCCAATACTTACACATACTCCTATGATGAGTGATCACGTTTTATAAATGTAATCTGAAAAGTAATTTTTAAACTCAATAATTTGCTGGTGAGGTTAAGTTTTCGCTTACACACGATTCCTTATTTTTTATTACTTTTACGTAAAAACAATAAGAAATAATTGAAATAATAAAATAATAATAGTATATTAATATGATCTTAGAAGAATAAAAACTTTTCTCATCGACTGGTCTAGCCACAAAGGTGTTGGCTGAAGGTAGGGCTTCGTATGAGCCGGGTAGGCCTGGGTAGTATTAGGGATCTTAAAAATCATGTTTGTTTGATTTAAATCTGTATAATTATAAATTACGCAATCGATAATTTTTTTCACAAAAAATTTTCTTAGCTGACAATTAAAATTAATTAATCGGAAGCAATATTTTCAGTTTCAGCAAATTTTATCTCAGATGTTTTAAAAAACTTTTAAAATAATAACGATAAAAAATGTTTAAAAAACTGTTTAACTCATTTTTTTTACCATTTCTAGGTTGTTTTTAAAGTTATACAGCTTACCTCTAAGATCAATAATTTTACTTCACGTGATTTATGCAGTGGGCCAACCAATCAGATTTGGTGATTTTATAATAATTTGCTTATAATCTTATTTTTTTAAAAATATTTTTAGTTTATAAAATCTACTAATAAAAAATATATTAATCTAAAATTTTTTTTATTATTATTCTATTAAAATTAATTATGTAATAATTTTAAATTATAATTTTTTAGAGGTGTGATGATGTTGTAAAGTAAATAGGTTATTAACCCTCAAGTGGCAGGTCTAAGGTTCAATTCTTATAGATGATGAATTTTGGAAATTATACCTGTGTTACAGTAATTGTCTCTTGCTGATCAGTTTGGTTTTGGGTATTTGTAATTTTAGATACATCAAGTTGAACCTTATCTGACATTGGAAGTTCAAAGTATTTATATGAAGTGTAATATTATACATATATAAAAAATTATAAAAAGTCAGTGTTGCATAACAGTCACATAATTTGTCACACAATTTTGCTTGAAATTTTTTTTATTAATCTAATGTAAAATTTTATTCTGAACAAGTTTACTTAAAAGACAAAAATAGATTTTTCTAGTAAATAAAAAATTTTATATAAAAAAACTATAAATTTTATATTTATTATATAGTAACCTTATTTTTTTACTAAGATAATCTACTTTTGTCTTTTAGATAAAGTTGTTCAAAATAAAATTTTACATATAATTATAGTTTTATAATTAAAAAATATTTTTTATAATAATATTATACAAATAAAATATATAAAATTTTAAAAATTTTATATATAAATTAATCTAAATTTTTATTTTAAAAACATATAAAATTTTTTAAATTTTGAAGCTTTGATGTTTTTTAGCTTATATATTAATAATAAATTAAATTTTATTATTAAATATATTGAAAAAAGAAAAATAAAAATCTTTATAATTTTTTAAAATTTTGTAAAAATTGTATAATTTTTTGTATAATTTTACTAAAAAGAAAATTTTAATATTTTTAAAATTACAATTATATGTAAAATTTTATTTTAAACAAGTTTATTTAGAAGACAAAAATAGGTTATCTTAGTAAAAAAATAAGTTTCTTATATATTAATATTAAAATTTATAATTTATCTATATAAAACTTTTTATTTTATTAAAATAATCTATTTTTGTTTTTTAAATAAACTTGTTTAGCATAAAATTTTATACTATAGTCATTTCTCTCTATAATCACCTCCTATATAATTACAACCCTTATATAATCACATAAGTTTGTATTATATTTTTTTTTTATAATAAAAATACCTTTTTATAATTATATTATTATTTATAATCACTAACACATATTTTTAATTTGTTAAAAATGTTTTTATATAGGATTTTCTCTTGATATAATCACTTTCTAAAAATATATTTAAATGATTTTTTTTTTTAACATTACTCAAAATGTCTTTAGAGATGTCTTCTAAAAAAGCAAGAATAGTTATTAATGACAAGTTAAAATATGATATTTGTGTCTATAATGACAAAAATTCTAACCTTTTATATAAAAAGATTGCAGAATACATTCAAGAAATCTTTCAAGTTAATCTTAAATGTTCTACAATATCCAAAATATTAAAAGAAAAAAAAATTAGTTGGTAGTAATTGATAATACAAATAATACTAAATTTTATCATCATAAACAAGTTAAATATCTGTTATTAGATTAAATAATGCAATTATGCATTGAACAGGTTACTAGTAATAGAATGTTTTTGTCTGAATTAATTATTAAAGAGAAAGCCAAGTTTTTTGTACAAAATTTGGGTATAATGACAGATTTGTTTAAATTTTTTAATAGTTAGATTCATCGATTTAAAAAAAGAAATAATTTACAAAATTATCATCTACATAGTGAAGTTAGTTCTGCTTCTTTAGAAGATCTACCTAACTAATAAAATTCAATGCATAATATTATTCAAGAATATACTCTTGATAATGTATTTAATGTAAATGAGACTGGGTTCTTTTTTAGAATGGTACCTAACTAAACACTTGCATCAAAATCATGTTCAGATTAAACAAAGATAATATTTGTTTTAAATGTAATACAGTAACTTATTAAATTTATATAATTAAATTATTCATCCAGGTTAGTTATTTTTTTTAAAAAACAATGTTTTGTTTAAAAAAAAAATTATGTCATGTATTTATATATATATATAAATAGGTAATTTTTTTTTTTAAAAAAAAAAAAAAGAATTTTTGTAATTTAAAATAAAAAGCAGGTTTGAGTTATTTTAAAACTTTATATTCTAAAAGTCAAGAAATTAACTTTTATAACTTTATTATTCTAAATTATTAGAATAAAGCAAGGTTTCTATTATGCTAATGTGTAATGTAATTGGAACACAAAAACTAAAACTACTTGTAATCGAATTTTCAATTCAACCTTATTTACTTGTATGTATTAATTATAACATCTGGCCTGTTATATACAGAACCAATTCTCGAGCATAGATGCAATGTGATCTTTTCAGTAAATAGTTAAAAATGCTAGATTATCAATTTTACTTTCAAAATAGAAATGTTTTAATTTTAGTTGATAATGCATCGTGTTATTATAATCTAAACAATATTTTACCAACTTCTAATTCTAATAATAATAATTATAAAAAAGAAACTGAATTAGCAGAAACATCTGTATCTTAAATTAGTAACATAAGATTGTCTACTTTACAAAATAATCAAAGTTAAGCTTATAGTGGTCAAAGTTATTCTTATACAATTTCTGATCTTACTGGCCTTCAGTTAACTAATATTAAGCTTCATTTTCTTCTATCTAACATTACTGCACATCTTCAACCAATAGATGCAGGCATTATTATCAAGTATTTTAAATCAAAATACAAACAAAAATATATTCAACATCTTCTCACTTAGTTTGAATAAGATGAAGATATACAAAAGTAAATTGAGAATATTAAGTGCTACAAATTAAAAACCTGAAACTGAATATATAAGTATTATATATTCAGTTCTAGGTTTTTAATTTAAAGCACTTAATATAAGTATAATGTTGTATGTTAAGGGTAGAGTATACATAAATCATTTTTTATATGATCTTTGTAGTACAATATAATTTTTATAAAAAATAAAGTTTTGCTACTGTTAACCTGTAGTTTTTCCTTTAACTACAGTGATATCAGAAGCTGCTCAACTATAGTATGATGACTATAACTTGAC